TACGTACTCCATGGTTGTCGGTGTGGTATCGACAAAACTGAAGGCGTTTTATATTTCCCATGCCTTCACAGCAACGCGTTAGGAACGATCAGTTCATTTTCGAGATTCAATTGCCGTACTTATCCATGCACGGATAGTGACGCTTGATCCTTGAGAGAGATTTGGATTGCATTTTGCAAAAAGGAACCGAGATCATTCCGATGTTGCTAAGATTGTGCAACTTACATTCTTCACTGGAAAAAAAAACACATTGGATCTAGAGTCCAGGCTCTTAAAAACATCGACAAGAAAAAATACTCTTGATTCAATCGGATTTTTGCTTGAATAAAGAACCAAGCCTCTTAATTTGAGCGGATTTCCTTTTGATATGAGCTTAACTCTGATTGAATCAAGAGTATTTTTTCTCGTCAATGTTTTCAAGAGTCTGGACTCTAGAGCCAATGTTTTTTTTCCAGTGTTTGCAATAAAATTACTGAAATAATGTAAATAATCAAATCTATGAAGAAAATGTTCGTCTTGAATTTATTGTTTATTCAGAGTAAATATAAAACTTGTTTTAGATGCTCAGTTTATATTTGCAAGATAGAGAAAGTTGCACAATATTAGCGGCACTGGAATGCTCTTGGTTCCTTTTTGCAAAAAGTAATCCATTTATAAGTTCCATTTTACTTCTCTGTTGTTTCCTGTATACTGATTTACCTTATTTTAAAGATATTGTTTATAATTCCTTTGGAAGTTTACAAAAAAAAAAAACAAAAAAAAAATTATAAGTTGCGTCACCGTCAATACTACAACTAACAAAATAACAACAACCTGTCTCAATTTTTAAGTGGCCATGGATCTACCTTAAAAATTTCCGAACCCGGAATGTTTATATTTCCTCAATGTCGAACCAGCTCAATTCTTGGCGAGGATTTATCAACGAGGTTACACTATTCAATCCTTTTCTTCTAACGTTTTGTATTGTTATCCTTGTATCATTATGATAAATGAGTATCAGTCTTACCATACCTAAATGTAAAATTCGATAAAGTACCTCGAAGATACTGTCCTCCTCTTTTTATTGTGTACGGGCTTCCCCACATCATCATCGTCAATCACGAAGCAAATCATGCGGGTAACCGTGAAAAAATAGATAATTAGAGAACGGTTAAACGTGTTCGTGTTAAAAAGGAGTATTTGCATAAAGTTTGCGTACGACATAGTTTCTTAAAGCATAAATACGACTAGTTGCAGATACGTTAAAGAGTCTTGTACATAGGACTGGACGCCGCACGCATTGCTGTGAGGGCTAGGAAACCAAAAACGCCTTCAATTTTGTGGATGCCACATGGACAACCATAGAGTACGTATAGTTGTATCAAGGTGCCTGCATCAATTTCCTATAGCGCTTCTTCTTTCCGTCGCTTTACATGCTCACCAGGCGCACTACAGCTGACACCGATACATTTTTCTTCATCGATCCATTGCAGTAATTCTATTTTATTTTATTTATTTCCAGCAACAAGACCAAACACGTGGAACTATTAATGCGAGAATCTGAGATACCAATAATTGAATTTTACAAAAGAGGAGTAAAGTTCGTATTCATTGCCCTTCCCTTAAACAGCTCAATTCCTTGGGAGACCCAGTATGGTGTACATTGTGATTTGGGGTGATTCGCGGAAACCCTTGGCATGACATCATAAGAAGGAAAATTTTTCACAACCTCGTGTAAAATCAGCAGGAAAACTTTAAAAATGGACTCTTGTGAAGAATTACAATGATTTGCCACTTTAAAAAGAGCAGGTTATACAGAAAACATTTCAATGCTTTTAAAGAAACACTGAGGTGGGTGCGAGCATACTTTCCGATTTGCAAGACTTGCAGCATATGCTCCTTTCTTATTTTGTACTTTTTGTAGTGGCGAATCATTGTAATACCTCTCTGGGACGCATCCCCAAAGTAATACTGATGAATTCCACCTTGATTTTGTAAAAAGTACCCTTTGAACGATGATATTGTCACTCTCCTGACATAAGCACGTAACTACACTTGCTATAATGCATCCTTGTAGTCCATATAACTTAATGTTTTCCCGGGCTTATCTTAGAGTGCAGTTACGCCCTTTTGTAAGCCACGCAATGATATGACACAGATCTCCTTAAACTCTTCTTAATCACAATATTTATGAGATGGAATCTCATAAGAGAAGTACCTATTTGGACGTATTTCTGCCAAACAGAACTATGTGCATTATGACGTGAGCCCTGTTATGCATATATCCTTATGGGTCTCAAGGCTCATGTCTTCATGCACATACTTCCGTTTGGCAGAATTACGTTCATTTTAGGAACGACTATGCATAAGACACAAAGGCACTCCTTCACTGACGTTACTGGTAAGCATTTGGAGAATAGAAGGTATTCAAGGCGTAGGATAATGTCTAATCTACACTACGGGAGTTAGAAATGTATTCCCTGTGAGCAACACTGCCATGCTAAGGAAGAACGCCGTATGTGTATTCGAGAGTTACCAAATTTAGTCGGATAAAAAATGCATTAAACAGGAAACACATCATCATCCCCCTTGAAACATCATTTCCCTTGAAATGGACCACTAGACAAGGTACGAATTTCAGCATTCTGATACATGTTTCTTAACCAAAATTTCACGTAGAACACGATGCGTACAGCAAAAATTACCGAAATCAACTCCTTACAAAGATATTCAATGATTCTTGAAGCGTGAATTCAAACTACCCGCTCATTAAAACTCAATGCTCTAAGAAATTCACATCGCGCGCTAAACGACATCATGACAGTATCTGCGATTTAAAAATCTAGCAACCTGAATTTTGACGCTTTGGCTCAGCTTTAGCAAAGTGCTTATAGTTTGAACAACACACGGTGGGAAATGAACATTACTCGATTGAAAAGCTTGCTGAAACCGCTGTAGTGCGCGATTTGACTCACGTAGAGCTTTGAGTTTCTTGTCAGCGGGCAGTTCAAATTCCTCGTAACCAATGTGAAATAAAAACGTTAATACCTTCATTAGGAGTTAGTCCCAGTAATTTCCGTTGTGCAAATCGTGTTCTACGTAAAATTTTGGTAGATGAAGAAACATGTATCAGATTGCTTAAATTCGTACCTTGTCTAGTGGTCCATTTTGAGATATTTTAGATTAAAGCGTGTACAAAATTGTCTGAAAAATTTGAAGAAAAATACCCATCAGTTTCCTTGAAAATTCGTATTTTATCGGAGGAAATTTGGCATCGCCTGATGGCTTGTACGGCGTTCTTCTTTAGCACGGCGGAACACTCGGATGAAGTGAGTTTCGACGACTTTCGTCGGGGCGCGCTCTTGAAATTCGGCAACGATGCTCGTGAGTGGCTCTCGCCTCTCTTGAGTGCTCGCGGGCTCCAATCGGACGTTTTTCTGCCGAACGGAACTGAGTGCATTATGACGTGAGCCCTGTTTTACATACGTTCTTACGGGTCTCAGGGCTCATGCCTTCATGTACATAGGTCCGTTTGGCCGGAATATGTCCAATCGTGGGTCGCAATTGGACTCAGAGTCGATACTCCTCAATTTCGCTCGGCTCTCTACTCAGCCGTCGCCCGGATTTTCCAGGATTCCCGACCATATTCGTAGGGCATCAAGGTTGCCAAGTTATGCAATCATATGCGGATATTTTACATGGATTTAGGTAAGGAAGAGCCTTGATTTTTCACCACTAACTGGCAGCAATGTAGGGCATACACGGAGAGTGCGCGGTGCCTACTTGGAATCTCTCAAATCAACCGAGGTCAACCAGAAGTGGTTCCTCTCCTTTTTTGAGAAATATATATGAACTCAGGGGAAAAGCTCAACAATTCATATCTGTTTTGATAGTTTTGTTTCCTTTGATACTAATTTGAATAATTACAATCTTAGGAGAGACTAACCGAACGCCCTTTGATTTTTCAGAAGGAGAATCAGAGTTAATTCAGGGTTGAACATTGAATACGGAAGAACTGGATTTATAATACTGTTCCTTTCAGAAAATAAACATGAAATTTGCAGACTTAGTCAAAAATTTAATGTCCCACCTCTCCGATTTACTCGATCCACTATGTGCCGTCTATATCACCAATTCAAATCACTTTAAGTCAATAAGACGCCTCGTTCACGCGCACGATCGATACGACTCTTACTGACATTTAAATGGTTTATCAAGTAAGTTGAAGCGAAAAATCGGCGGAGAACCGAGTATAAAGTACAGTCCTTGTAGTAAATCTGGGGCATGAATCCGTGCGAGTGAATCTTCTTATCGAAAACAATAAAATTTATCTCCGGAGGGAGAGTACAGCTGAATTGAGAGGCACGGAAAATGAAGGCGGAAAAACAAACGGAGGTAGGTGAATGAATGAGGGGTACTAAAATTTACTCAAGGAAAGATAAGACGCTCCGAACGCGGCACAGAGTAACGACCGAAACATTATTACGGTGCTTCTCTCAGCTGCAGTGAGGTGCACACGAGGATCTACAAAGGGGAAGCCCTAAATCAAGTCTAGATTTTTCAATTATTTCCCTGTCAAAATGTTCTATTTCAAGAGAATCGCAAGCAACTCACCCTCTATATCTACACGGTGAATGTTTCATAACATTGAAACTATCACTGAAAGAATAAAATATGCAAATGCTCAGCGGGCTGATTGTTGCAATTGATAGACACAGCTATAGACAAAGAAGACGAGAGGGATAAGGAGAGATCCTGATGGAAGCGGGTAGTTGCAATGGACAAAGGAGGTAGGTGATTAAATGATTTAAATTTAATTATATAATGAAATTTTAAATTAAGGTTAGTCCATAATTGTCTCCCCTAGTCTAGAGAAACAACCCATTTCAACCAATAGGATTGCTCCATAGAACCTATATCTTCTTTGTCTATAGCTTTGTCTTTGACCCGGTTTTTTTCAGTCCTGAACACTAGAAGAAATAATGAAAAAAGGAAAGACAAAAACTTTGAGGGCGACTTACGTTTATCACTACCCTTTCACAAAAATCGTGGTCGTGTGGTATGGGTTCAAAAAGGTTTACTCCTGTGTACTGTCCGTGAGGGGCCCCGTCCTCGTCTTGACTGCTAAGTTTTGGCAGCGACCTAGAAAACAAAACAAAACATCAAATTAGAAAGCACAACAAAATATCAAACTAGAAAACAAAACAAAACATCAAATTAGAAAGCACAACAAAACATCAAATTAGAGACCACAACAAAACACCATATTAGATCATAATCACTTCGATGATGGACCAAAAATAACCTAAAGTTAAGAAATATTTGTAGGTAAGTGAATTTGAGCAAAAATTAACCTAAAATTATGTAGTTTGTAAATGCAATTTTATTCAGTTCCTGCCCTATATTTGAATTTCAAACTGGTCCCGATTTTACCGCCAATCCTCTAGCCAATAGTAGAGGTGGTTGAAAAGTAGCTTCATTTTTTGCTTTTAGCGCTTCGTCTTCGTGTCTTTGGCCGGTCATCACGAAAAACTGCTAGCAAACGCGGTAAAGAAAAAAAAAAAAAAACTCTGCGACCGATCGATGAATGAACGCGTATGAGTGGCAGGTAACGTGCGCTCAAGTGAGTATCTCAGGTACCAGAGAGCGGAAAGGATGCGGCATTGATGCAGGCACCTGGATGCAACTATACGTACTCCATGGTTGTCGGTGTGGTATCGACAAAACTGAAGGCGTTTTATATTCCCTATGCCTTCACAGCAACGCGGTAGGAACGATCAGTTCATTTGCGCGATTCAATTACCGTACCTATCCATGCACGGATAGTGACGCTAGATCCTTGAGAGAGATTTGGATTGCATTTTGCAAAAAGGAACCAAGATCATTCCAATGTTGCTAGGATTGTGCAACTTACATTCTTTGAAATTAAGTTACTGAAATAATGTAAATAATCAAATCTATGAAGATAATTTTCGTCTTGAATTTATAGTTTATTCAGAGTATGTATAAAACTTGTTTAGATGCTCAGTTTATATTTACAAGATAAAGAAAGTTGCACAATATTAGCGACACTGGAATGCTCTTGGTTCCTTTTTGCAAAATGTTGTAAATGTTGCGAAAGTTAAGGAAATGTATATGGGTGATGAATTTAAGCAAAAATCAACCTAGAATACTTTGTTTATGCAATTTTATTCAGTTCCTGCCCTATATTTGAATTTCAAACTTGTCCCGGTTTTGCCGCCAATCCTCTGACCAATAGTAAAGGTGATTGAATAGTAGCGTCATTTTTTGCTTTTAGCACTTTGTCTTCATGTCTCTAGCCGGTCATCACGAAAAACTGCTCGCATACACAGTAAAGAAAAAAAAAACGTTTTGCAAATCCCATAGATTGCGTGCTACGGAGTGGAATTCAGACTTTTTTGATGCGACCAACGTGATTTTCAAGCACATTTACCCTTGAAAAAATATATGCCGGTGGCTATATCTCTTTGCGTGCAACAGACCCATTGAAATACAAACAGAAAGGCTTGTATTCATAGTCGCGCCTAAAAAGATTTACCTTTAAGATTAGGCCTTAAGAGGCTGCGTTGGGTCTACACTGTGCTGCTGTGAGGGCCACAGAAACCCAAAACGCCTTCAATTATGTGGATACCACACGGACAACCGTGGAGTACGTATAGTTGTATCCAGACGCCTGCATCAATTTCGCATCGTTTCTTTTATCTGTTGGTTGACATTCAAACCAAGTGCACTTCAACTACTGACATCGATGTACCTTCCTTCATTCATCAATTGCGACGATTTTATTTGTTTTTTCCTTCAGCAACGAGACTAAACACGTGGAAAAATTATTGAAAGAATCTGAGATAAAAATAGCTGAATTTTTTTTAAAATTAGAGCAAGGGTTGTATTCAGCTCCGTATACAGCTAATTTTCCAAGCAGACCCCATTTGGTTTATACTGTCCTCGAGGGAGGTTTAAGGAAACCCTCAAAATACCATCATAGAACGGAAATTTTTTGCAAACCTCAAATGAGATTCAGCAGAATAACTTTGGAAATAGATCTTTAAATGAATTACACTTATGTACCAATACAAAAAGCGCAAAAAAGGTACGGAGGAAAAATATCTATGCTTTTTACAAACTTTAAAGTGGGTGCCCACCCCCCTAAAAATTTACAATACTCGCGGTACATTTTCTTCCGTATTCCATACGGTTTGTGGTGACGAATTATTGTAATCTCTTTTCAGAATACATTTCCAAAGTTATACTGCTGAATTTTACTGAAACTGGCGAACATTTTCCGTTTCAGGATCCTATTTTGAGGGCATCCTTTAGCCTTCTTAGTAAACCAAATGGGGCCGACAACATTGATAAAAATATTTGAGTCTTTGTGTTACTTTTGGTTAATACAGAAAGTGGGACAAAAACCAACCCAAATTTTGTGTTGCTTTTGGTCCAGTTTGCCGTAAATTTAGCACTAAAAACAATGGAGAGAATGGGAAACCCTAGAGTCAACCGGAGGCTTGGGTTGTTTTGTGCTTTACCGCCCATATTAACATATAATTTTGGTTATTTTTTTTACTGTGTATGGCAAGGAGCTATTTAAGGATCAAATGAACGCATTTCTGTCAAACGGAACTATGTGCATTATGACGTGAGCCCTAGTATGCATGTATTCTTATGGGTCTCAAAGCTCATGTCTTAATGCACATGGGTCCGTTTGGTAAAAATACGTCCAAATATGTATACGACCCTTCCTGTTTTCATTTAGAAGTGGCACAACTCATAAAACTTGGCACTTAAAAACATGTTCCTCGGATGTAACTGTTACGTGGAGAGGTCGGAACTCGGCCTATCAATACCCTCCCCAAAATGCGCATTGGAACTCATCAACCAATGACGTTGCGTTGCTCCCGACAATACAGCTTTGTTATCTTGAAAACTCCCACTGCTTGATAAGTGCACATGTCAAGAGCACTTAGAAATTAACCGGTGGCAAGACGTGAATAATCGATTGTGTATATTCTCCTATCTGAAGCTATGTTAAAGAATCGATTATTAAGAAGTTCGTTGCGAACACCCTATTTATCGATCCTTTTCCATAGGTTTAAATGACAGCTCAATCGATGTATCGCAAAGCACGCCACGCCACTGAAGTTAACTTACTGAAGTTGATTTTACATTCAGGATGTAAAAAAAGTGTGCGAGAACTCACAACACGCTGAATGAACCGCTATTACAGTTACTGTAGCAATGTCAATATGTAAAATTAACATCAATGGCGGGTAATTCAGCAATTTGTGAGTTCTTGCACATTGTTTTTACATCCAGAATGTTAAATCAACTTCACTTTTTTCTCGATGAATTATCAAGGTGTTCGTTGTGAGCACCCTGTCTATATCGATCCTTTTCACCTTTAAATGGCAGATCAATCGATATATCGCAAAGCATGCCACGCCACCGGTGATTTTCAGAGATTTTACATGACAGAAGATTCTTCTTCGAGCTAGAGCGAAACTCAACGTGAGAACCCAATTCCATCCACGAGCACCCTCCCCCACGTAAGGTATAGAAAAAAATCAAGTAGCACCCCCAACGTGCCCGAACAAACTTCGTCAACGAGGCCGGGCGGTGGGGTAGTTGGGGGGGGGAGGGGGCTGCGGGGAAAGTGAATAAAATGGAAGGGAGCAAATTGATGCGGAACCTCGGAAGACGGCTACATCGGTGCTCCCTAAACGATGTTCGATCACTGCTGACTAAACGATCGGCCGCCCTCATATCGACACGCCTTGCCGCACAGTGGAACGAGACATACACTGGAAAAAAAACACATTGGATCTAGAGTCCAGATTCTTGAAAACGTTGACAAGAAAAAATACTCTTGATTTAATCAGATTTTTGCTTGAATCAAAACGAAATCCGCTTAAATTAAGAGGCTGGGTTCTTGATTTAAGCTAGATTCTGATTGAATCAAGAGTACTTTTTCTTGTCGATGTTTTTAAGAGTCTGGACTCTAGATCCAATTTGCTGTTTTTCCAGTGTAATATAGAGAGGCAAGACATGACGTGTTTTTGATACAATCGCAAATTTTTATGCTGATTTTGTCACAAAACGGGTCGGTTTCGCTGGTCATAGAGTCGCGTTTTGACGCTTGCTTCTTGCAGATTAGCTAAAAATAATTAGATCTGTCCAAACCGCAAGTTTCTACGTTCAAAAAGTCCTGTGTTTGACGTCATCCACCGCGGTAGTGTTGTCCTTGTCCCTTCCACCTTTCTTTCACCAGTCAGAGAAACACCCACTTGCACTGGTTACTCAACGTGTGAATCGGATGAAAACAAGGTGGAAGAAACCGAGGGTTCCACGTGGAGTAACCAGTGCGTCACTGACTGATGGAAAATCCGATTTTTCAATGGGCGATAGCTCGGTTAATATTGAACGTTGAAAGTTGCGGTTTGGATAGATTTTATTACGTTTAGTTGATCTGTAAGAATGAAGCATCAAAACACGATTCTGTGAGCAGCACGATTCGGTGTGGGACCAATTATAAAGGACAATTTTTAAAGAAAAGGAGGGGTACAAAAGGGTACTTTTTGGGCCCACCGCGAATTTCTTCAACCCTTTGATTTTGAGACCGTCCATAAATAGGCCAATAAACATTGTATTTTTTATTTAATATTCTAAAAGTACCAGGTGGGTAGATTACGTGGTGATTTATTGCGTATTTTTGGAGCCAAAATCCTGGAAAACCCCGCCTTTTTAAAGTCCAAAGACTCGAAGGAATTCCAAACGCGCAAAAATGAAGGGAAAATGATGACAGTAATGCACTTTAGCAGTCAGATCGCTGCCTTTTCTTATTTTTCACTAATGTTTGTTCAAATAAGAAGCATTTCGGAAAACGGAATAATTTACTCCAGATAAAATGAATGAGTTTTGATTCTTTGAATCTAAATATGCAGTTTCAACTTTACCGTTGTATTCATATACGATGAGTAGAAAGACATTCAACAGAAGTCGCAGAAACCCGTGCTCTCTTTCCGATTGGTGCCAGATGACATCGTTCGGTTCGGCTCGAAACCGGGGCGTTTTAAATTCACTAGAAAAAAAAAAACACATTGGATCTAAAGTCCAGACTCTTAAAA